TTCTCACCCATTTCATCAACACTTCTCTAACTTCTGGTCACTTTCCAAACAGTCTCAAGGAGGCAAGAGTAAACCCTCTCCTAAAGAAACCCACTCTCAACCCGTCAGATGTTATAAACTACAGGCCTGTCTCTCTACTCCCGTTCCTGTCTAAATCACTTGAACGTGCTGTCTTTAAACAACTCTCCTGTTATCTCCATCAGAACAACCTTCTGGATCCGCACCAGTCTGGTTTCAAGGCAGGTCACTCCACAGAAACTGCTCTCATTGCTGTCACTGAGGAACTGCACACTGCCAAAACTGCATCCCTCTCCTCTGTCATCATCCTGTTGGACCTGTCTGCTGCATTCGACACGGTGAATCATCAGATCTTCCTTCGCACGCTCCAAAAACTTGGAGTTTCAGGCTCTGCACTTTCACTCTTCACCTCATACCTCAAAGACCGTACCTACAGGGTAACTTGGAGAGGGTCTGAGTCCGACCCTTGTCAATTAACTACAGGGGTCCCTCAGGGCTCTGTTCTTGGTCCCCTCCTCTTCTCCCTGTACACAAACTCGCTCGGATCAGTCATTAGCCCGCATGGTTTTTCATACCACTGCTACGCTGACGCCACCCAATTAATTCTGTCGTTTCCCCGCTCAGAGACCCAGGTCGTCGCACGCATCTCTGCTTGTCTAGCTGACATCTCTCAGTGGATGTCTGCTCATCACCTCAAGCTCAACCTTGACAAGACTGAGCTGCTCTTCCTTCCGGGAAAAGATTGTCCCACTCTTGACCTAACAATCAACATCGGCACCTCAGTTGTTTCCCCGACTCAGACTGCAAGGAATCTGGGTGTGACCCTAGATAACAACCTGTCCTTCACTGCAAACATTGCTGCTACAACCCGCTGCTGCAGATACACGCTTTACAACATCAGGAAGATACGTCCCCAGCTGACACAGAAAGCGACGCAGGTTCTGGTCCAGGCTCTCGTCATCTCACGCCTAGACTACTGCAACTCCCTCCTGGCTGGTCTACCTGCATGTGCCATCCGACCTCTGCAGCTCACCCAGAATGCAGCGGCTCGTCTGGTCTTCAACCTTCCTAAATTTTCCCACACCACTCCGCTCCTCCGCTCCCTTCACTGGCTTCCGGTAACTGCTAGAATCCACTTCAAGACACTGGTACTTGCTTACCATGCTGCGAATGGATCTGGCCCTTCCTACATCCAGGACATGGTTAAACCGTACACCCCAGCACGTGCACTACGCTCTGCATCAGCCAAACGACTCGCTGCACCCTCGCTGCGAGGGGGACCCAAGTTCCCATCAGCAAAAACACGTGGGTTTGCTATCCTGGCTCCAAGATGGTGGAATGAGCTCCCCATTGACATCAGGACAGCAGATAGCTTGCACATCTTCCGGCGCAAACTGAAAACTCATCTCTTTCGACTCCACTTCGAGCGATAGATTTATTAACAAAGCACTTATATACTAATAAAGGACTGGCTTACCTAAAGCCAGTTGAGTAGCACTTGAAATGTTTGGCTCTAGGAAACCTGATGTACTTATATGATTCTGTTTTCTTCAAGGTTGTGTCTTCCTGGTCGAATGTACTTATTGTAAGTCGCTTTGGATAAAAGCGTCAGCTAAATGCAATGTAATGTAATGTAATGTTCATACAGCATCATTACAGGGATTTACAATTTACATAACTATCCGCATGAACAGGTACCAACAGCTTCCGATTGAGTAGCATCCAACCAAGCTTTAAAAACATTTAGTGGCACCAGATCAATCTACAAACCAATGGACTTTCCTTGCTTTCACTGTCTATTCCCATAATGGCAAAGTGCTATCATATTAATCTTAAGGCTGATAGCAAGGTTCTGAGAAACAAAGGCAAAAGGATACACAATAAACATTTAACATTGATACACTTATGACCGGTGAAGCAATACCGCTCTACTTTGTAACATTACCTAAGTGAAGTGCCAGCCGTTATTGGGCTGTATGGCCAAACCTTTTATCTAATGCCATATAATATAATAATATGATACTTTATTGATCCTCACCAGGAAAAACTGTGTTTAATCGTGCCAAGGTTCACAAAGAGGTCAGAGGTCAATGCAAGCTTTAGAGCAGCACCGTGAAACCTGCTAAATGCTTGACCATTGAGAAATGTCCTCCTTATGCAAAGGCTCTGCTCAACTAAACTGCTGGATGCTTTCATTGGCAACCTTAAAGAGAAATGTCTGGACCCGTCATTTGACTCAGCATTCTTTTTGTGGCTGCCATTCAAATCTGGTTCTGTAAATTAAAGAAATTGTGCTCACTCTTGACGGTAGCTTGGCTATTTTTAAGTCATGGATTTTTTTTGGAGGGACAACTGTAGTGATGGTTCTCTGCGACCAATCAGTAGACCACAATTGCTTTTCTCCACATTTTAGTATCGACTGCTTCTGCAACAGCTGTCTGTTACCGTTAGAAAATCGGTAATGAGAGCAGTGAAAGTAAACCCAAACACTGAATTTGCAGACGTAAAACAATCAGCTACATACTCATAGTTTTGGTAAGTTTGTCACGACAATGTTCACTTATCACATTACACATAGTCATTTCAACTTTATTTCATATAACATTTTGATAGTTGGGGCTTTAAAGCATTTTTATACATTATGTCTTTTGAACGGATTAAACCACTCAGACATATGGTGTTGATTAGTGAGCTTTAGAGGTGCTGGTAGGTATATTAACCTAACCCTAACATTTGACAAAAATCCAGCTTTTCCAGTCTATACATTGATCTAAACTACATTTGTATCTTCTTGCCAAACCTTTCCTGTCAGTGAAGGTAAAGTGAGTCTTCTAACGGATCAACTTATAAATCTAAATTCCTATCCGTGAAGCAGCAATCTATCTATACTTTACTGTGGTGTCTTCAATTAAAGTAATTAAAGTCAATATGTTCTCTCCTTGAAAATATGTTACAGTTCTCACTACAATAAAGGGACTCAAATTCATGTTTGGGAACACACACACACACTATCAGAAATTCACGAAAAAACAACATAGAATCAAAAATCTGAATCTGAGTGTCTGCACCAACGTGCCTGGGTCCTGTAGAGAATATCTCGATACCCCAATGTAATAATCAGTATGTCAACCCAAACACATTTCCCCCACTTTCTTTCAAAAGCCATTGTGGAATGTGCAAGAAAGAAATGACCTTTTCATCCTTTTAGTAACTCTACTATCCGTTTCGGTCAATGTTGGGGTCAGCTTCAATTCAGAAAGCTTTTACACAGCTTTTCAAACAGTCCATCTCAATTTAGTAAAAATAAAATTGTTACGCAGGTCCACTTGTATTTCTGGGTAAGCAACATTGGAACCAATCTGACCCCAATATTTGTTTTGTTGAAAAAGCATTCCTCTTTGCTTCCTTTGAGCGGCTGAAAAATGCACCTGCATTCAGGGACTGAGCGCTTTATTGAATAAAATGTGTTCAAACATAAATAGATACATGATAGAGAAAGTGTGGGCAGCTATCCACAAACAGTAACTGCAATTGTTGTTTGTTAAAGTAAAATTGCCTTGAAAGTAGAACGTAACACTTAAATACAGACAATATTCACTTTACTTGCAAGAAAAGAAATCCAACTTAAAAACGTAATAAAATATTTGTGTAAATGTGATGTATATAAAGGATTCACCTTGTGCTTTGCCATGCTTTAGGGCGCTTCCGCATTGTCTTATTTGTTGTTGTTGGTATTTCCAGAGTGTTAGTGCTAAGACTTAGCACCAGCTTTATCAACCACTTGCCAAATAAACCAGTTTCAAGCTTTTGAATGAACTGTTGTTAAATAAAAATAAAAAACGTTCAGAGTGCCTGAAGATTTAGATTACAAATGTGATTATTTTATTCAAATATCACATATTTGGGTATAAACAGCAATGTTTGGTGCTGTGAGAAGCTAATGGCTGTATGAGAGCGTCCGGTTGGCTTCAATCAAGCACAACAATGTTTTTATTATAACTCACTGGCAGAACGGTAGACACAGTTTCACTCTGCAAGTTAAACCATAGGCATAGATAGAGTATAAAATAATATTCTATTTTAAATTACGAGAGCCAACAATTTGGCAATAGCTAGCTGGCTTGTTAAGTAGATAGCTAACTTTTGCTTGCTATCTTGTTAAGTAGATTGCCAACGTTCGCTAGAACACTAGTTCGGTAGGTAGCTAACGTATGCTAGCCAGCTTGTAAAATAGATAGCCGATGATTGCTATATTAATAGCACACAGGCCGATTATTTGGATTTGGTCTCCATGTTAAGTTGATTTTATAAAAGCTATTGACATTTGCTTTAGTTTGTAGCAGGGCTGCCAACATTTGAGTTCAGCTTGGAGTGAGATTTTTTTTTTGGTGAACCGAAAAAAGAAACGTTCATGTGTGTTACAAATGTATTGAACATGTACAAACTAGTGTTTCCCATAATGTACCGGGCGCTCCAGTGGAATACGCACATACAGAGTGTACCCGCGACTCTTACAACGAAGGCTCGATAATCAGCTTTAAATAATTTCAACTTTATTTTTTATATACATTTATTTTGGACGGAAACTTAGCATGAGGAAAGGCAGGCGTGAGTGCGTGAGATATGGGTTAATTGCGTGACTCTCACGCTCAATGCGTGAGTGTTGGCAGCCCTGGTTTGTAGTCTGACATCTGGCCAATGTGCTTTGTAGTTCCTCACAGTAGAGCCAACTACACCAAAAACACTACAGAGTTATGAAAGGTGTCCTTACATTTTCAGCCATTTTCACATGTCATCCTGGTAGCCACTAACATATTATTGATGTGGTAGTTTAAAATCATTCCGTAGCTGTAAATGATCCTCAATACAATTCATTGTTTACAACGCTGCCAGTGCGAAACCGGGAGAACCAACCGAACAGTCCGAATCGGAACTGGGTAAAAAGGGAAGGGCAACATGAGATGAATAAAACCACAAAAATGTAAGTGATAATAGAATGTTGACTTTAATCATACACAAGACAGAGATTGCCTGCGGAGTAAAGCCTTTGTGTTTTACAGTGAGGACAACAGAGCTTTGGTCAAATATTTGAAATGTCACTCCACACATGCAAAATAAATCTGGAACGTTAAGACAACAGTGGAGCAATGCATGCAGTGCATACTGTAGTGTTCGCATGTTTAAAATAAAAGGCACTTATATGAATGACATAAACAAGAGCAGAGATGCAAACATGGATAAGTAAGACTAAACAGGTGTATCAAAATGTACAATAAATACAGTTAAACCTTTTCTTTTCTGAATTAAAAGATGCTTATCTTTAAATCTCCCTTTCATGATATCAATGCAGGGGGACAAAAATCCGTACAGAATTATTTATGACTTCAAAATGTAGATGTCTGCGACTGTAAAGCATTGTCCAATTTACAATATAAAGTCATGCATTTTGTGTCTTTCAAGGATATATTACAAAAATACAGATTTGTGTGGTAAATGATGGAACAAGGAATGTGATGTATGCTTTCAGATAAATGAAGATACAACCAAAAGAAGGAAAAACATGTGGTCCATAAGATAATGTTTCCACGCTTGGCTCAGTCCACGTTCCTGTACCTGGTGAAGAGGTTATAGAGGACGCGCAGCGTGGACTTAAGGTCACAGTTCACTATATCTGGAGAAACAAAAAAGAGAGAAAGAATCAATTAATCATAATAAGTTCAATATAGACAGGGGTGCACATAACTTTTTGGCCCTGGTTCTCAAAGGAGCACCTGGAGATGTTGCTTGGTGCTCATCCTTAAAATGAAATAAACCGTAACTTTTGAGGGGGTCTTGACTTTATTTGCCAGACACACGGCACTGAACACACATGCAGAGGTGAACACAGAACACACATGCAGAGGTGAACACAAGACAACATTAGCACGACCAGTAATCCTACACGCTGTCATCACTACCCTCCTCACTGTCTTCCTCTCTGTCAGACATGGTAGCTGATGATGTAGGCCTACTACTTTCTCTCTGGTTGAGTCTGCGATTAGCTGCTTGCATCCACAAGTCAACAGCTGGGTTTGGGTCGAAAGTCTCTGTTGTCATCTTAGACAAGTGAATGTAAACATAACCAATAACCTACCATAGCCAATAACAAATGAATTTAACTTATTTTATTTGTGTTGTTCATATCTTATTTTACCTTAACATTTATGTATTTTTTTTTTTTTATCTCTCCAGTTTTAAAGGATATTTTTGGTTACTAACCTATAGTATACATTGGAATGATTTCAAACCTGTTTATCCCAATAATTATAAAGGAGTGCCTTGGAAATATGTGTTTACATAAATTGTGACCAAACTGTTTGAACTTAGACTAAAGTGAACTATCTAAACACTGAGAGTCCTTTACCTCACTGAGCTGTAGTTATCAGCCTCTCAGTCTGACTGGAGAGGACTCTCCCTCCACATCATTGTAGAAACATCTTCTTCTTATATCCGTTAGAGCAGCTAGCACCAGATTCTAATAACAACAGCGCTGGTACCGGGAGGTGCGCCCTTCTCTCTCTCTCTCTCTCCCTCGCACTTTGGCTGTGAGCTGCGGGCGCCAGATAAGCCAACATCCCCCATTTTCATCACTTACAGCGCCCATCGTACAGGGCAAATTAAACGTATAACCGGGGTGAAAAGGGTGTTACAATGACTTAATTATGAATATTGTTACATCAAGGCCAAAAATTAGGATGAGCCCCAACGGTCAAAAATGTTTTTTTTCCCTCCCAGAGCTGCCTCCCCAGATCTGGCGCCCTAGGCGAACATCTATAACGCCAGTGCTACGGGCCGACCCTGAGTTCATATGCAACTCGCAAATATATTTCTCTCTCTCTCCTCTCCCCTCTCTGTTCTCTTCTCTCTCTCCCTCTCCCTCTCTCAATGTTGGTGCGCAAATGCGCCTTTTTTCAAATGACCCGGTGCTCTTTTTTTGGTGGAGGTGCGCATGCGCACCTGCGCACCAGTTATGTGCAGCCCTGAATATAGACATATCTTGGAGCCATACTTACAGCTAAGGTTAAGATGAATACTAGGTAGATAAATGTATAATAACACATTTTCTTTATAATAACCAGTATGTTAAACATTTAATGGTAGCTATGTGATAAATGTTATGAACTGGTAACTTTCAATACATTTTTGTATTTAAAAACAAGTATTTTATGTAAAGATATCTTTTTGGGTCTCTTGTGCTTTTATTATAGCGACAGATTTGAACTGGGGAGTTAACATGTATATATGATATAGATCAGAATCGAACCCAGGTCCTCTGAGTCCCGGAACATGGGACCAACTCAACAAGGTGAGCTATCCCAAGGCCCAATTTCTTTCTTTTTTGTCAGATTGAGAGTTTTCACAAGTTTACATATTTAGTTTTGACTGAAGACCTGCGGTTGCTTATTGTTTTGATTGTATGTAGTCAACCCTGCTCAATAGTGGCTTATTCAAAGAATATTCGGACATTTATATTAATGAACATACATCCAGTGAGAATATAGAGATCCTCGCCGGGCCCCTCCTGTTTAGTTGGCTGAAATGAGATCTTTTAGATCAAGGCTGAATAGTCACGTCTCTTAGCACGTGTGGCAACCAGTTGCAAAGGTCTATATATCCACCATATGTGATGTGTATGAGGATTGCCTTCCCAGTTAGCATAATGTGAATGATTACAATCATATAATAAGGCCATGCAAAAGTTACGGCTCATTTCTTTGTGAAAAACTAATACAGATTGTTGTTTTGGTGTAATATGTAGTGAAGCGGCTGAATGAGACACGCCTGTAGTTACTGATTATACCTTTGTTACATTATATCACATGTCATTTAGCTTACACTTCCCTATCCCTGAGCCACAGCCGCCTGATGCAGTTTTTGACCGAACTGCCTTAAAATGAATGCAATATGTGTAGATGGTGTCTGCAGCCTAAAGTCTACTAAACAGGGGATGCTGCAGGCTGCCCTCTGAGTTTTTTCAATGTTCAATCAACAGGTAACAGGAAAATATCTTCTCAAATCAGAATGACAAAAAAAAAATGTATATCCCCAGTTAAATGTGCTTCCTACCCTCTGGTCGGGGTTTTGGTCTCTCCAGACCTCCGTCCTGCATCAGCTCAAAGGAGAAGGACACATTGTGGACCTGCAGGCGAGAGAGAGGCTGTTAGGACAAACACGAACAATCACAGCTCCTCTCTGATAACAGAACATGCACACTGGTTGCTAAATCCCAAAATACACTGTGGGTCGATTCAATCGTGCTACCACAGCTTCCTGTGTGGGCAAACACAACACTGCCCTGTAAGACCATAAGCCTTCAGCAGATGCACAAACACCCTCTTAATGGATACATGTCAGCAGAGTCAATCAAAAACTTCAAAACTCCAAGAGACTGATACAGTCGGTACACGCCAGGTTTTTAATGCCATTACAAGTGCAAGTTCATGCGTGTACGGTGAACATGATTAATGATGCTATAGTGCAGGGCTGACCATGAATGTATAAAGTGAAGGGGCGCGGTTCATTCCTATGAAAGTTACTCAGGGGCGCATGCAGCCAAAATGACCTGACTCTACCCGTTTCTGGGCCCATTGGTTGTTGCAGTGATTACATATTTTTGTAGGCCAACCCAGAAGTTAGCGTCACAAGGGCTCCCTCGTCAAAAAGCAATGGGATTTTTCCATTGGACTTCGGAGCATTGCAGACTCTCTGTGGTAAACACGTTTATAATACTGATGCGATTTGTTCAGGAGGATAATCTCCACATATTGACACCACTTTGTGATTTTTGAAGTGCGAATGGATTTGCCAGAAGTGAAAAGCAACTTTGAGGCTATAAACTAACTTTATCCTGGCCGCACGACTGTGCACCACCACCGCTAAGCTAAAGGCAGGCTCGTGTTCAGCATGATGATTGTTTAGTGTCTTAATTAGGTGCTTGTTAGCAACCGCTGTTTCATAACACACAGAAGCTTCAGACATTGACGAGCGGGGTAATTGCTGGCGTATTTTATGGTGTAGAACAAAATGTGAAAATCTCTTGCCTGTATTTAACAGACCGTATTTAAGGCATCTAACCACAAACCCTTACAAATGTTTTTGACTGAGGCGAGGGAAAGGGAAGTGGTTAAATGCTAATTAATTTTCTTGTTTAAGGACCTATTCCTGCAGCACTCAAAGTATGCACACTTATGATTGTCCTTAAGGCCTGTCTCTAATCTACTCATTTATGGCAGCGTCACGGCTGGTGTCTGCTCAGTCAGCATTTTACAACCTTAAGGCTCTAATGGTTTAAATAACGGCCTTCAAGTGTTTGTCGTGTTTGCGCTGGTATACAGACGTCTTTTTTCCAATGTAACCCAATTGTAAAAAGTATTTTTTGAGCCCAACAACGTCACAGGCGAGAACGGAAGTTGAAGTAACCACCATTTGCTGAAAAGCCTGGTCAACTTCCTTGGGGCTGATGTTTAATCAAAAGATGGAACCCACGTTTGTTTCGGATGATTCTTTTAAATATCAGGTAGAGTACAGTTCTGTGTAGGAAACCAGAAAAGATATTTAAGTCAATCTGAAAAATAAAAGTGCAAGGGAGAGGAAAAGCAATCAGAGGGAAGCGATAGGAAGAGTTAAAAGATGTTTTCCATTCTCAGCTCATTGTATCTGTGTGTGTGTGTCACCCTGCTGAGATGTACTAAAAGCTTTTATTGTGTGGAAAGCGTGACCTTAGTCTTCCCTAATACAGTCAACAAGAAAAGAAGAGAATGAGCCTTAAATAGAGATCTACTGAGCAGGAGTGCTTTCTTGATGCTTGTGCTACTTATCACAGCCCACCCCTGGTGTATCATCGATATGCATATGCACACACACACACACACACACACACACACACACACACACACACACACACACACACACACACACACACACACACCACACACACACACACACACACACACACACACACACACACACACACACACACACACACACACACACACACACACACACACACACACACACACACACACACACACACACACACACACACACACACACACACACACACACACACACACACACACACACACACACACAGAGAGAGTAATAGAGCTGAGCCCCTACACCACTCCAGTGTTTCCCTGTGCAAAAGGAGATTACAGATGCTGTGGGGCTGGTGCCTGTGCTTCCGGGCCAGGAGTGTGTGTGTGTGTGTGTGTGTGTGTGTGTGTGTGTGTGTGTGTGTGTGTGTGTGTGTGTGTGTGTGTGTGCGTGTAATGTAGCACTGATGCCCATTCTGCTCCGCAGCTTGGCAGGGGCCGCTGGCCAAGACCCAAACAAAAGGCTACTGTGGTGTCTCCTCAGATTGCCTGTTCAGAATACCGTAGTACTACAGAGGCCAATGGAGTGGGAGATGGCTCTGCACTGAATGGGCTCTGGGGTAAACGGATGGCATTTACCCGGCTATTGAGAGGAGAGTCCTGGCTCCCAGTGCTCAGGATCCTCACAAATCAAGTATTGATTCAAGAGTTTTTCTCAAACTATAGGTCACAACCAAACATGGGTCAGGATCATACAGACTATGGTCGGATCTTTCTCCTAGCACTTTCGGGTTTCTTCGTCTCAAAGTCAATTGTTTTTTAAATAGCTTTTTTATTAGATGAATGAAATAAGGTATGTGGTTCACACAAGCTGAAAGATTTTCTTGTCTTTATGTATGACATAACAAATGTCAGTAAATACCACACTATTGAATGTTTGAAGCTTCTATGTTTCATAAAAACAGCAGTTGCTAACAAGACAACAAGTGAAACTACCAAACATCATCATGATGAACATTAGCCACCTTTAGCTTAGCGACGGTGACGTCATATGAGGATGATGTAGTTCGATTATAGCGTAAGATTTTCACTTCTGGCAATTCCCTTTATGTGCAAAGTACTGTTAATATGTGGAGGTTATCCCGCTGAATAAAACATGTATCATAAACGTGGCCATTTTCCAAAATCCAATAAAAGAAATCCCATTGCTTCTTTTCGAGTGAGCCCTTGCAATGCTAACTCCATGTCAGCCTACAAAAAACATCATCACTGCACTACTCTATAGATCTAAAATATTTAAGATTTTGTTCATTAATATGGCTCAGATAACAACAACAAGTACACATGCCTGCTTGTCTAAGACGCTGCATCAAAAAAGTTGCATTTGTACATATTGTGGAATTCTTGCCGTCTTGTTACGTGAGCCCACTCTACAAAGGTCACAGCTGCTTTCTTATTTCATGGGTAGAGCAACAGATGTAACACAAAACTAATCAGAAAAGAAGAGAAAGATATGCATTGAGAAACGTTTGTTGGCCCTGAATTAAAAGCAGTGGATAACAGAATGATGGGATGACAAACGGCCAGCTTTGACCCAATCTGAACATCACGAACCAACACATACAACAATACTCAGAAAAATATATGGGTGAATAAGTAAATATATAATTTTTTCACCCAAAATCTTGAGTTTCAAAGATTAATACCCCCAGGGCTCAACGCTAACTTTTAAAAGTGGTTGCCAGGCTGGCAACCAGGCATCAGCTTTTGGTTGCCAAAACCGAAATACGGTTGCCATTTTTAGTCACCTTATATTTTAAATAATTAAGATACCATACAGTCATACATCAACTTAATAATGAACATGTGACACAAAAGAATGTTCAAAATATGCTTTACAAGAAGTAATTAACACAATTATTTGAAACTTAAGTGGTAGTAAACTTGTCCACCCTCAATTGCTGGTATACAAAACACCAGTAGTGTAGTCTTGGATTGGCCAGACTAATACATTTCTAATGTTAAATAAATGAAAACTATTCACAGTTAAGAATTAGATATTAATTATTAATGCTGTAAATTACCTTTAATATGTCTAACTATATTTATTTATTTAGAAGTGATTATATTTGTATGCCAATATGTTCCTATGGTAAAGTTTCGTTTTGCACTTTTATTTTGGTAGTAATAAGATCGGGACTCTTATTTTGAAGGAACCTTTACCGGAAGTGAATGGACAATGAAGCAGAATGTTTCGCCTCCCAAGACTTTACACATTTCCTCTTTGCTTTTCGTTCGGGTTCACCTTGCGCTTTATTTGAACATTCGTTTGAGATGTTAACGGGTTGGCTGAACTTTTTACCGCACAGTCAAACAACTTAATTTGCTTCGCCATTTTTTGTCAAACAAACACACGGCGCACGCGAGTAAACGTGCATCGCTTTCTGGCTCCGTAATCACACCAATGCACGTGCAACTTAAGTATCAGGTTCCGACTGGTCACAACAATAATTAAATATCACTCTTAATACAACAAATAATTAACATTTATCTATTTTGGGGTGCACATTTTGCTGTCCTTAGTTCTTTATGTTAAAAACTGGTTGCCACTGATGGCAACCAAAGGCCAAGAAGTGGTTGACATTTTTTCTGAATGGTTGCCAATGGCAACCGTTACTGTCGAGCCCTGACCCCCTTCATTCAATCAAAAAGCATGAAATATACTACATTACATTACATGTTACTTGTTAGACGCTTTTATCGAAAGCGACTTACACACTCAATACTGGACACAGGAGCAATTTGGGGTGAAGTGTCCCAGGGACACAACGACATGCTGACTGCAGTGGGGTTTGAACCTTCGACCCTGATCCGAACACCAACGCACAACCCACTGCACCACACGCCTCCTTACTACTACTAGTACCAAGTATGTCCTTCTTTGCTTCTAAGTGCTGCACTGACCACCATATTTGGTCATGTGACACGATCTCTGAGGGACAAAGAAAAATAAATCACACTACACCTTTTGGTCAAAATTCTCTGGTGTTAGGAAAAAGTTGTAGAGCGGTACAAAGTATCCCTCCAGCAGCCCCATCAGCAGCACCAGGTACACACCGTCTGCAAACTGACAGAGAAGGACAGGGATGTCACCTTGATAATGGACTAACAGCAATAATGACTTAAATAGGTGGCATTTTCCCAAGTTTCCACAACAATCTCAATTACTATGAAAAACATGTTGTGATGGACATGCTTTTCAAAATAATGGACTTTTGGAAAATTGGAATATGGAGTCAAGCATTGTGTCAGGTATTTGAAAAAAGTTTCCCTGCGTTTATATGCAGGTGTGTGACGTACCTGTGTGTCCAATTCAGACACCTCCAGGTTGAGCTTGTTGAGGTGTTTGTTCACAAAAGTGATCAATGTCTGAGAAAACACAAAGGAAGGTATGTCTCAGAAGTTTGCGACATTTCAGATAACACAGGTAATGAAAATGCAAAGATATGCGTACACATAAATTGTAGACATGCATACGTTTAAAAAACGGGGTTAAAAAAAGTCAGTAATGTGGCATCAACGACTTGGCCTTTGGCAACCATACTGGAGGTCTTAACCACTGTGACAACTTCTACTTTTAAACTACAAACTTAATGTCTGGACAGAAGTGAAAACGCAGACAGTGTTCAATTTGATTGTGATGAGTGTCAATTTGGACAGAAAGTCATTTAATCACTGATATATTTATTCAACTGCATTTGGCTTGTAAGAAACTAAACAAACTGCATTTGGTCGAGAATCACAGTTATTACATGCAATTATATGACTCGTCATCAATAAGAATCTGAATCTTAGGTCTCATTCACACCTAATAGTCCGTTTTCAGGTGCGCACCAGACGACAGTTTGTTACATTTTTCAGAAGGTTCGGTTTGCGTTCACACGGGCAAAACTCAAACGGACTATAAACTTTAAACACAAGGCATGTGCACGGAAATGCTGTTCAACCATTGGACAGACATTAAGGGGTTAAAAACGCAAATTTCTACCGGAGCCTCCGCCATGGAGCATCGGCAATTTCGGCAGGTTATTTTCATGCTGCTGTTAATCTGGAGATCTACAGACACTAACGGCCCGCGCATATGATTATATAATCAGACAACGTCCGTTAAAAAACATTATAACACATATAATGAGAGACGTTCTGCAGTAAGGAGGTTTCACAGACGACAGGTGGCTCTGTCATTTATGTACGGAGCATTTTTACTGTTACGACAGTTTCAACACTTCATTCTGCTTCACTCTTTAACTAAACAACCGCGGATGTCTTCAAAATCTTTAGCGAAAGAGTCTTTCTCTAAAGATTTTGAAGACATCCGCGTTCTTGTGACGCGTAAATACTACACTTCCTATGTTTTGGTGAGGACTGCGTTCATACCAGCGATGAACCGCTCCAGAGTTCACTAGCAAGCGCTCCGAGACCACCTCTTTTAAAGGGTGCGTTCCCACCAGCCTTGTATAGTTCGGTTGAATCGAACCCTGGTGCGTTTAGCCGCTTGGTGCGGTTCATTTGGGTCGGTGTGAACGCAGTCCGCACCAAAACATAGGAAGCGTAGTATTTACGTGTCACAAGAACGCTGATATCTTCAAAATCTTTAGCGAAAGAGTCTTTCAAGACATCCGCGGTTGTTTAGTTAAAGAGTGAAGCAGAATTAAGTGTTGAACAGTGTCGTGTAAAGTAAAAATTCTCCGTCAGCTACATAAAAGTAAGAACACCTGTCGTCGGTGAAACGCCCCTCCTTACTGCAGAACGTCTCTCATTATATGTGTTATAATGTTTTTTAACGGACGTTGTCTGATTATATAATCATATGCGCGGGCCGCTAGAGTCTGTTGATCTCCAGATTAACAGCCGCATGAGAATAACCTGCCGAAAGTGCCGATGCTCCATGGCGGAGGCTCCGGTAGAAATTGCCGGGATTTGCGTTTTTACCCCCTTAATGTCTGACCAATGGTTGAACAGCATTTCCGAGCACATGACTTGTGTTTAAAGTTTATAGTCTGTTTGAATTTTTCCCGTGTGAACGCAAACCGAACCTTCTGAAAAATGAAACGATGCAACTAACTGTGGTCTGGTGCGCACCAGAGAAGCGGACTATTAGGTGTGAATGCACTCTAAATCAGTGGGAAAAAGTATCTTTGGGCCGAATAAAGTCCATGCCATGGCAACTGACTTGGAACTTGTAGTATTATCATTTGGCCAGTAGAAAAGTTTCGTCAACAGCGGATGCTCTTCCTAGGAGACTAGCATAAGACCTGATTTTTATATTGATGTATTTGCCATTCCTCCATCAGACCGCCATAATGGCGACAAACATGGAAGCTCAACTCCAGATTGCCACTGCAAAGCCTCCGCACCTTTTTGACAACATTCAGCTTATCCGGAGCATGGTCAAACAGGGTGTCGAAAGCATCACGCTCTGTAAGAAAACAAACAAAAGTAATTATTATCCCAGAAATGTGGATACTCCTGGAATAAACATTGTTCTATACACTGTTCTACATACCGTGCCTGCCAGAGAAAGCCCTGCGAGAAAGAGGAGAACATCAGAAAAAAGATTTAAAAAAAAAAAATCACAACACAATTCCGAGGCAGTATTTGCTTATTGACAATACTGGAATATCCATACAAGACAAAGGGAAATGAGGACTGTGCTTCCAGTTCAATCACAGAGGAATGTAGAGAATGAAGGGATTATGTCTCAGAAATGACAATACAATAATGTAACTAGGGTATCATAATTTGATTAACAATAAACACAGGTACACCTTGGGTATTCGTATAACCTGGGTATCATCACTGGGAGTTTAACAATGACACATACTGTAGCACAATGCAATAATCTCAACAATACAGTGTGGTATTGATACAATGAATGAAGACATGCAGGTTTTCTATGGGAATGGAGGGGCCTCTCTTCTGTGTTATTACAATGTGAACACTGTGGAGGATGTTGTTTTTGGAAAGGGTCAGGTGGTTTTTGGAGAGGAGAGAACACCGCAGTGTGAGTGTCCCCGGGGAAGGGATATCGCGGTGGGCAGGCCAGCAAGAAATGACACACGCACACACACACGCACACACACACGCACACACACACACACACACACACACACACACACACACACACACACACACACACACACACACACACACACACACACACACACACACACACACACACACACACACACAACACACACACACACACAACACCACACACACACACCACACACACACACACACACACACACACACACCACACACACACCACACACACACACACACACACACACACACACACACACACACACACACACACACACACACACACACACACACACACACACACACACACACACACACACACACACACACACACTAATCTGTGATGGCTAAGGCAGGCAGGTCTGGGCAATGGTCCTGGTGGTGTGGTAATAACCGTATTTCCTCTGTCACCAGTGTGTGTGTATGTGTGTGTGTGTTATCATGCGTGTATCCATCTACCATGACAAATGTGTGTGTGTGTGTGTGTTGGTCTCCTGTTATCTCCCTCGTTGCTGCTGTCAGGCTGCAGGACATCCTCAAAGGGAGACAATGAGAGTGTGTGTGTGTGTGTGAGAGATGGTGTGTGTGTGTTTTAAATAGTCTAATTCTTCAGCTAAAGGTGCCATCACATATGTTGTTGAAATGTTGGTTGTATATTCATCATTGCACAGAATTTCTTGACATATTCCATCTAAAGCCAAGTGTGCTCCAAAGTTTAGTTTGCAGAAAATAAGATGATCAAGGTCACAGTTTGGAATTCTATTCAGTATGTTCTCCATAGAAAAATACTCAAAGTTTTTTTTTTAATTAGTCTCTAATGAGTCTTTAAGTTAATGAAGAAACCATTTCTGTCATGGTAACAGAGAGCTTTTAGCAGCACTAATGTCTATCAACAGCTACACCCTGTGAGGTGTGAAATAAGTCAGCATCAGAACATACTCACTCTGTGTTGCCAGTGATCTCCTCTTGAATTTGTCTGGACTGAAGGATGCCCTCTCTTTTCTGTGAGACACGAAAGGAGGAAAGGATGTTAATGTGGGATTTTGTTGTATTCTAGTGATTATCAGAAATGTACTGGCACCTGAACTAAGAAAAATGCTGTATTGTCACACTCAAACAAGGTCCCACCCACCTGGACAACCACTACTTGAATGGAAACGTGGTCAGGCAGTCTGATTGGAGCTCTGAAGTGCTGAGACAGCGCCACCAGCAGGTGCAGGATGGCAACGATACTCTTAGCATGAACCGCTAACACCGGGCAAAGAAGAGCAACAGAATGACAGAGAAATATAAGTTATGGAGCAAATAACATGAATACATGGTGGTTCCATGCCTGTATGTATATTAAGTGTTATATAACTGGAAATGCTGTCTAGACTGCAATTAGTACAATGGTGGGGGAATGAGTCCTAGGAATGAGTTGGATGGCAGGTGGTAGCTGGTCTGATGTTAACAATCGCTCACAAGATGTTAACGCTTTGTTCGAAGACATAATATACCCCACTGATGGATGTCTGAACTTCTATGTGTTTAAAATATGGCGGTTGCTAACGAATGGCTTAACTGGACTACTCAAATTAGCCGCCTTTAGCTTAGCAGGGGTTTTACTTCTGATGAATGCATTTATTCTTTAACCATTATAAAAGTGGTTATCATAGTATCATAAAAGTATCTTTGCCACATTTCTTATTGTCTGCAATATCCCTAAATCCAATGGAAAAATCCCATTGCTTCTTACCAAGGGAGCGCTGGGGAGGATAACTCCTGTATCCTCATAAAAAAATAAATACAGCACCAATCTACTGAGATGAGAACAACAGCAAATGTAGCCATGCATGTAAATCGAGCCTTCCAATTCTCCATTGATAACCCTTTTTTATCTGACACATAATAATAACTTCTATCACATCACCTTTTACTTCTGTCTTTAGCTTTAACATAAATATGATATGCGTATATAAGAGAAGGAAGGGGAAATGAATGTGGGCTAAAGAGTCATAAATACCTCAACTTGTTAAATAAGACAACAAATAGCCTATTAATAGCCCACCGTTAGGTTTTTACCTCTGGCATTTGTAAGTATCATATACCTTTGTTTGCCACAGATATTACTTTATGCCAGGGGAGTCAAACTCAAGGCCCGGGGGCCAAATCCGGCCCGCGACTTCATTTAATGCGGCCCCACAAGAGCTCTGAAAGAATATAATTTATTTATTGTACGGTTACATGCCGATTTACAGACGAACGTTGCCCATAAACTACATGTCCCACAATGCATCTCAAATATGATTTTTTTTCAGAATTTGACTTTCTTTCAGAATTTGACTTTTTTTTCTTCAAAATTTCACATTTTTTTTACATTTTCATTTTTTTTTACAGAATTTGGCTTTAAAAAAAATCATTTTGTGACATTCTCACTGAAGAGACTTCCCCATGATTTGCCCCAGACTTCTGCTTTCAGACGTAGTTAATTATGAAGTTATTACCCTATCCGATAATGATCCAATGCAGAGGCAATAATGTTATATAATACATACGTTTATATTAAATATTTAGTTACATATGTATTTTCATATAGTCTTAAAGTTACAACCGGCCCTTTGAGTGCAACCAAAATGCTGATGTGGCCCGTGATGAAATTGAGTTTGACCCCCCTGCTTTATGCAATAATCCAATGGAAAATCCCATTGCTTTTTGTCGAGAGAATACTTCCAATGGCAATTCCCGGGTCGGCATATACTAATACATCATCCCTGAACCATTCTATAGGGAGCCATGTTACCCACTTACTAATGCATTACAAAATGTTCACAATCTGTTTCTTTTGTATTTCTTTTCAATAAAAGAGTCAATACCTTTCTGTATGAAATGGGTCGCCAAACAGCAACATATTTTCATTCTTCCAAATATTCTGAAAAGTTGTACGTGGCAAGGTCACATTCCTTCAATGGTAAATACATATTAAAGAAAGTAAAATAAATTCTGGTCTTCTGCCTAAAGTTATCCACAAATAGCAGTCCAGCGAGAGACACTGAGCCACATGTCTTTAGTCAAGCGAACAAATAGGATTTACCTTTGGGTACACAATCAGGATCAATTAAGTGTCCAAATCACAGAAAGCAAGCTAAAAGCCTTCAAAAACAACCTATTAGATCCTCTCTACATAAGAGGATCCAAATAAGACACATCAGGAGAGATGTTTTTCTACAGCTCCTGCATGAAGAATGAAAGAAGGGACAAACAAAAGTGAATTGATTCAAAAGAGAGCTCCGCAAATAAAAGGACTGCAAAATCAATGACATGGCGTGTTATTCACCGTGCTCTTTAGCATTTCTTTTAAGGTATCTCACACAAATAGCTTTCAAGGACAAAGTTGTACCAGAGGTGCCTTTAAAGAATGTCATATTATTTGGTTTGAAATAAAATTCATTTGATACGGTCTCTCTCTAGTGCAGTGCTCTCACAAAATCAATTCTGTAATCTCAAAGCTTTCTGTGTCTCCATCATGTCATCCATATTTCTACCTCACTCATACAGTAATGCCCACTCTTATATATCTCATATGCATGTTAAAGCTAATTATATAAGTAAAGGGAAGGGTGCTGAAAGCCTTATAGTATTTACTAATCTGTGGCAGATAAAAAGGGCCATTAAAAAGAACTATCTTAATATATTCTGCAGGCTTTTGTAAAAAAAAGACTCAGGTCACATGGAGAACACATTAGCATCTGTTATAAATAATCACAGATGCTACCATGATAAGAAAACAACATTTGGAAACATGTGTTTTGCTTAATATTCCTCAATTTGCATGAGTACCTATATTTTATAAAAACATAACTGTACTTTTACCTCAGTACTTTTCTTTAAAGTACAGATGAATATTTGTACTTGATTTTTTCAGTACTCTACATCTCTTATGGCGCTTTTCCACTGCAGGACCTAGCACGGCTTAGCACAGCTTAGTTTGGCCTTGGTAGGCCAGGCTCACTTTAAGCTGCGTTTCCATTACAGTTTAGTAACAGGGGTAGTAACTATAGTAACGCAGTGTAGGCGGGGCGATCGGCTGTTCGGCGGGCGGAACGACGCTGCGTAAAATTGCCGTGACGTCATCTTCAATGCGAACCACAAAACCAAAACATCAGCCGTTAGCTGTTAGTACTCACAGCTTCTCATATCTGTTCAGAAACTAGACAAAAGTTAAACAAGTACAAACCACAGACTGTCTGTGTCATGGCGAATACAGTCGCTGGTTTATTTATGTCTGTAGGCCGTTGTTGTTGTGTGGACGGAGCGTATATAACATTCGCTTAGCCTGATCGATCTCCATTCAGAAAACACGCATTTTAAAAGGTTTTCGCCTGCCGTCTGTCTGCAGACTTGTCAAAGCATTAATTCATGTTTTTTACTAACCGGTATCAGTATGTTGTTACTTCGACATCATTTAGAAACGTGTATTACAATTAAATCACGGTCAAATATGTTAATTTAGTTGTAGTTGTAGCCCCCTTTCCAGCGATTCTCTCTGACCATTCAGCAGTCGAGTGTTTACGTCACTAGTTTAGCATATTCAGCCCGGTTGTTGGCCCGGTAACAACCTCGATTTGGGAGGGCCAGAAAAAAGGTGAAAAAGTAGCCCTGAGCCGGAACTACCCCTAGTGGAAAAGCAAAAAAAAAGCGGACCAGGTTTGGCGAAATGTTATTGAGAGACTCAGTGCAGCAGAAACAGGAGTAGTGTAAAAGGTATTTCAACTGGATTAAGGTTGTGCCGTGGTACCCTTTTAAAACGGCACAGATTTTTCACTTAAAATTCAGGTTATTGCACATATTTTTAATAAGTTGTAATTTGTCCTATTCTTGTATTTTAAATATATATTTATGTCTGTTGGAAAGATTTATTTTTATGTTTCTAAATTGTAAATTTTAAAAGAAAATTGGCTTTATAATAGTTTTATAATTGATGTTTGCACCATTACACCAAAGCAAACTCCTTGTATGCGTAAGCCTACTCGGCAATAAACCTCATTCGGATTCAGAATTGATGGGAAATATGTTAGGGCATGACTTTAAATTACAAATAACTATTATAGATTTCAGCAATACAGTTGTATAGAAAGTAAAAAGGTCATATCCTTACAGTCCACATTCCAGCGGATGCTCCTGGTGGAGAGTTTGAGGGAGTCGTTGATGCGCTCCAACACCGTCTGCAGCTTCTGTTTCTGAGCGATCTCCGACTGGGTCACCTCGGCCACGTTCAGTTTCTCTCCTTCCAGCTTCTCTGAACAACGAGACAGACACAGAGAATTCAATATGAATCTGGTAATACTTAGAGATGTGATGTAAAGACAGTTCATTCAAAGGTACCTTTTAAATATTGCCACTTGTAAAAATATAACAATCAATAACAGCACAACTTTAGTTAGGTGTCTCAATGGCTTTTCTCGACATGAGTAGTTTACAGAGGACATCTTCTGCCCATTTTCAGGTTCATATCAGTATGTAGTGTCTACTGTGAAATGTCTCCATGCTTTAATGTTCAAAAAGCTCTTTACTTTTCTCATACTGCCTGTGCTGCAGCACCTCTTTTCACCCTCTGTCTGAAACCAGAGCCCAGTCTGCTCTGATTGGTTAGCTGGCCGGCTCTGTTGTGATTGGTCAACCCTCAGAGACGTTCCTTCCCTTAGCATATCACATACAATGTGTTGCTAGTCAATAGAAGCGCAAGTGTTATGTAGTGATGTCACTATGTTACTGAAGTAAACAAAGAAGTCCAATCGAAGCGTTTCAGACAAATGTGAACTAACACCTATAAAACACCCTACACCTACAGGAATGGGAAAGCCCCAAAGCATTATGGGTGAACTGCTCACCGAATAGTTTCTGCAGGACCTGCCCATCGTACAGATCTTCAGCCAGATCCTTCACAATGATCCTCTCCCCCACCAGAACATCGTTGATCCAGTCGATCAACACCTACAGGGGAGAATAAAATACTATTCACTCATAATTAGAACTTGTTCAATCTTTGAATGTCATTTTGCAAAATAAGGATTTATCACCAAGTAATTAATTCAGAATACATACTTATAACCTTGTAAACTTAATAAAATTACATAACATTTCATTTAGCTGATGCTTTTAACCAAAGACATTTCCAATTAAAGGTGGGGTAGGTCATTTTGGAGAAAGCAACTCGAGTGCGCTAGAATTTGAAAATACACAACCGGAAGAAATCTGCCACTTCCTCACAGAGCCCCTCCTCCAACACACACGAACACACGAACATGACCAATGAGGGCTCTAGATAAGTTTGTGCACAGATGGAAGGCTGACAGGCAGGTAGGCCATCCAGTTATTTTAGCCGGGCCGGCTCAGATGATTGGTCGTGCTTTTTACAGTATTACGGCTTTCACAGATGACATTTCTTATGGATTTGTTATCAAAGCACTTCAGATATTCATTGCTATCGGGACGTTGAGAGCATTCCATGGAATATAACAAAACGTGTATCTCGAGCCGGTTTCTCAAACTTACCTACCTCACCTTTAATGTATTCAACCATGAAGAAACTCGTTTAAAAAAGCATGAATCCTGTGATTAGGGTTCAATAAGCCAAACCACTCTAAATGCTTTGTACATTTGTATTAATTATTACTATTGGCCAAGGTGCAGTGTAAACAGGTGGGATGTCTTTTCTTAAGTACGTTCAGATGAAACATGTTTCGCCCCTCATCTCAAACTGGCGGATTAAACACTGAATACCTGCAGAGGCCAATACCCAAACCTCTTATTTCCAAGATAAGAACTCAAGTCAATTGAAGTTGTTAAAATCAATGAAACAGAAGGTGAATCTTCGCCATTTGAATAGCTCTGCATTGTATTAGGAGAAAACTATTTCCAAGATTTCCCTTAATGTTATTTAACAAAAATAACAAGCCGTAGAACTTCTCTGTGTTTTTGCAGCCATTGAGAGTAACCTTTATGAACTTTTAGTTGTCAGTACATCTTCAAGAGTCATTTTGATGATGTCATCTGCGTAGAGAATCTCACACTGAGCTTTAATGACAACTAAATAAGGGAAATAACGAAAAACAGTCTTATACTGCGTGTTGCTGTTGTTTATAGTGTGTGGTTGTTTGCTGTGGGCTCTCACGTAGGAGCCCGGCAGATAGTTGATGGCGGCTGGACTAGTTGGTGTTGTTGTGCAAAGCTTGGCGAGTAAAAACACATTATTTCTGATGTAGTGCTGTTAGTCCAGCTGCATGTCTATGAATTGCTGGTTTCAAGCCATTTCACAGATTTTTACTGGAATTTAAGTAGCAACTAGTGAGGATGTCTGTCCTACTGGGACTGTAGTCTTGGCCCAATCCGAGGCCTTTGGTAGCCTAACAAAAGTTCCCCATAAGAAGTTGCCAATTTGAATCTTGTGACTGTTCACTCAACCTCATGTCACGTACGATTGTTCCTCCAGCTGATGCCTGTTCCCCTGCACCAAGCAGCCACCTCAAGTTTGAATGTGGGGATGAAGAGATGCAGCCCTATTACATTCTAAATGACAATGTATCCAGGATAAATGGTGGTGTACCTTCATGAGCTCCTGCAGTTTGCGGTCATTCTTGGAGTTGGGGTCCACCATGGTGCGCACTTCATTCTCCTCTAATGGATTAAGACAGATTCAATGCAAGAAGAACATTATTATATTATAATATATTCCTTAGTGTGTTAGGGAGAAGAGCAACAGAACCCATAAGAAAAACAACATTTACCAGCTTAATACATTGCATTACATTACACGTAACTTGTTAGACGCTTTTATCCAAAGCGACTTACATACTCAGTACTGTGGGCAATCCCCACAGGAGCACTTTGGGGTGAAGTGTCTCAGGGACACAACGACATGCTGACTGCAGTGGGATTCGAACTTGCTATCCTCTGATTCGAAGATCAGCGCACTAACCCACTAAGCCACAGCCTCCCTAATACATTTTGCTTTCCCAAAAACACTGCAAATCACATTAAGTCTGCACTTGAGATGCTTCTTTCTTTTTATACCAGTGTATTTCATAGCATATGGAAGCTGAAGAAAGCAATTGCTGTGTACAAAATTGGACGTCGTCTCAAGCCGTGATGTACGGATACTACGGTTACTGTGGTAATGTATGAAAACAAGTACTACCACATTTTCAGTATTTTGGCATTGTGTTTATTATCAATTCTTGGAACAGCGCTTGTACAAATATTGATGTAGTTATAAGATCCTTTAGCCAAAGTCATTGGCCACCGTATTTGACTGATTTAGCAAAGGATTGTGAAATGTTATTCAGGTAGCAGCTCGGCTGAATGCAACAGGTAGTGTCGGTGTAGTTTACCCAGCATGGTGTCCTCGGGGTCCAGCTCATAGTGGGAGGGGCTGAGAGGAAGGTTGATGGCGTTTATCCCCTCCTCCTGAAGCTCGGACACTACGAGGGAAAGGTACCAATGTTATCATCACATCGGTCAAACAGTGTAGTGTAGATACAATACTTTCCTATATTCTTTAGACATTTCAATAAATAGCCAACAATTAAAAGGTAAAGACGACATTTTTCTAAATGTTTCTTAACGTCAAAAGTTCCTGCAAAAATATAAAAAACTAACATAGGTAACCAGTGCCATAGCTCTGGATTATTGTTGTTATTGTTGTTATGTTATAATAGGTGCTGTTGTGAGTATTTTCTGCACAAGTACAGTACTTCAGGGATCAAAATCACATTTTGTTTTATTCAATAGTTGATTCATAGTTTTTGTATTTTAGAAGCACAAAACGTTGAATGCTTAGTGTGTTTGCTTGATGACCCACAAGGTTGATTTCAAATGAAAAAAGCGTGACATTCAAACAAAACAAGTAAATGAAGCAGGGTTACAAATGTATCCACCATCCATGAGCTACATGTTTAGCACAACTTAGCCTGAATCAGATAAGTAGAGACAAAGAGAGATAACCTTGCTTGCAATGAGATATTTCTATACGATGTTCCTTTGATTCCACTAACAACCATCAGCAGCCCCTCCGTGAAGAGCCTCTTGACGTGAGACAGACAGACACTAGTGTTGCTTCCTGCTTCTCAGCGGGCTTTACAGAAGCCCAGCATGCCATTCTTCACTGTGTGTCAGATACCTGAGGAGGCTCGATCGCTGCTGTTCTGAGAGTGTGCGTGTGTGTGTCTGAGAGACTGAAAGCATGGAGTGAACATCCTGTGAATGTCTCTGTGTTCACTGGAACAACATCCTCTCAATCAACACTATCCACAAGTGCCTACATGTGCAGTATGTGTGCATGAATCCACTCACGTATAACAGCGCCCGGGGTGTCTGAGAACATTCATATAGATTGACACATGCCTCACTGTTCATTCTGTGGTGAGAGGGTCTGACATGCAACGTGTAAAACCACAGTACTGAAGAGTTAATAAGTATGTTATGTCGACTGAAGTGCATGTGGAATGTAACGGAGGTTCAACGCTTCTGCCCATTCGCTTTGAATGGGGTGACGTCACGCTTTTCCGAACTGCATTGTGGGAGCGTCGCTTCGCTTCAAAAGTTGAGCAATGTTCAACTTTTGAAGCTTCGGCGGAAGCGTCAGCCAATCGAATCATATGCCAATCAAACCGCGTGCTTGTGTGTCCGGGGCGGAAGATTCAGGTGATTGGTTGTTGGTCGAGCTTCAGACACGCCCGCCGGCAAGCTTCAACGCACAGTTGATATTTCTTATAAACTTTGCTTCATTTTACTTTTGCATTGTTGTCTTTCTGTCTCTTTTTACCCCAACCCTTTTTTGATGGAGCATGTATGGCGTGGAACAGAGATGCACTCAACAACAGAGTGGAAAGTGTGGGAATTGGTGGAAGCCAAACCAAGGGCTATTGCCTTAGCTTCAACTAGGCCAAACCTTTCTTGGTGCAACACGGAGAAGTGAAAATGCTTTGTTTATTTTGTGTTGTCCAACGTGCAAAGAAACAGTTGGGTTTTCAGTCTGTTATGAAGGCTATGTCGACTTTCTGCTGTCCTGATATGAATGGGAGCGTCTCTGTGGAGTGATTTTGATAACATTTGGGTGGATTTAGGGGACTCTGGATCATTTGGATTGAACAGATTGCCTATTTATTTGAAAAAGAATTGTCCAAAGTGGAGATAATCATTTTTATGTTGTGCTCTCTATATTAAATTGTTGCAATGAGTCCACCGAAAGTACAAATATGACCACTTTCTGGTTAAAATGGCCATTTTTTATCCTGGAAATGTCAGAAATGGATTCAGCAACCTCAATAACCCATTGTCAGTCATTTTGATTTACTATAGGCTTTAATGCCATACATTTTAATTCATGCAACTTATGCAAATTGACCAACATATAAATAGTACATAAATAAATAAATATAGTATGGGACCCATACTATACATTTCTAACATAAAACAATAATGGTATTCTCAAAATGTCTGGGTTCACTATGCTGGCAACTAGACAAATAGTCTACACTATCTGTCATGTTATAATGAAGACATAAGCTGTTCAAATATGACCAAATGTAAAACAGCATGCAATAGTTGACCAAATATAACCCCCATGTTGACTTGTGTGGACGAAGAAAGAACCAGGAGACTAGAAGCAGGTGAGGGAGAACGTACTGCCCATAGCTTGTAAAGTTTCTCCTCTTCCATAACCAGCTATTTACACAATTATAGTGTATATTCAATCCAATGCCTTTTCTATTTTGAATTTGTAAATACTTGCTGCTAGTGTACATTTTTACCAAATTTGGGATAAATAAAGTGTCTATCTAGCTATATATCTATCTAAGAATAAAGTGATTTGGAGTATGACAGAATACAATGGAAAAGGAAAACTCTTTCCTTGGCATTTTAACCACCTTATAGATCAATAGACACAAGTGGCTTGGAGGAGGCGAGTAGGAATAGACACAGGGTGCATATCACTTCGGTTAAATGGATTCCTTGCATCCCTGCGTCTAGTCCCTCCCACCAGGGAAGCATGGAGGGACGCAAGGAAACCACCAGAAGCAGGGACATGAGTTTTAAGAGCAATAGGACGTCCTTTCCTCCGGAGCGTCACGTGAAGCGACGTCCGTTTGTGATGACGCCGCACAGCTGATCCTCTGACAGCAGCCAGATCCGTGCATGCGCTGCATCGTCCAATCAGTGAGCGATACACAGTAAGGGGGCGGGGCGAGTGTCTGAGGATTTCCCTGGTTCCTTGATTATCACTCCTCCGTTATCACTCATCGATCCTCCGGCACAAATAAGGCCACTGGGACGCTACTCAAGATAGCGCAGACAAATCAACTTCTGGTGATACCGAGACCGAGGAGCGAGGAAATGAAAAAGAAGAGAAGTGAGACGCACCCACACTCTTACCAGAATATTAAATGCTTTAAAATTGTCAGCTTAGTTATTAAGTTTCAAAGAAATTGGCGTACATTACCAACATGTTCCCCTCAAAGGTATTTACAGCTTAGATATGTCAACTCATCTCAGACAGAAGACAAATGTTGAACTATAGGTTGTTGTTTGATTAGGATTAATGCATGAAGGGGTTCTAATACTTTCCATAGCTACAGTTCGTGGGTGGCAATTAACAGACTCATATGAAGGTAAAGCTGTGAAAAAATAGCAACGTAGCAATTAGCACAGTCTGATAAAACTGTAATTATCACTTAGGCGTATAAGTATGATCACATGTATTTAGTATGGTGGGTAAACATGCAGTAAGGAAGTGAAACCACTAAAGTATTGCAGCAGTTAACTTACTAACCAGCTGTGTTTCTATACTGGTATGTCATATTATGTACAATAGCTATTAGGGATGGGAACGATTAATCGAATATTCTAAATTACTCAGGTAATGGAATATGAGTTATGAATATATATATATTTCTGTTTTGTTTTTGGGAGGGGTGCCTACGTTGATTACGTATGATCAAATGGAATAATTCAATGTATACGACAGTGCCATACTGTAGCTAAATGTGTTAGGTCTAAAGGTGTGTTTTGCTCCGCTCACCGGTCCCTCACAGCGGGCAGAGCTGCAGCTGTTGATCTCTCTCTCTCGCGTCCGGTTATACTTCACCTGCGTTTATGTCCAAAACCATCAGTTCTAGCTAATGATATGGCTGCTGCCCCTCCCTACACGCAGATCACGCAGACTCAAACCTCATCTTATGCCCACATTCCAGCTGAGAGGGTCTTCTCTACAGCTGGCCTGATCGTGAATCGCCTCCGAACCCCCCTTCTCCCCTGAGTAAACATGCTCATATTCTTAAAGAAGAATGAGTATTGAATAGCTGCCTTCTGTGCATAGGCCCTGTTCCAGGTTGTTGATCTCTGTTGTCACGGGTTACGTTTCCCTAACCCCTTAGGTTGTTCCTGTCTGATCCCTCTTTCATTTAAAAACCAGTTATGTTTTAAGCATGAAAGCTGTAGGCCTATAGCTGTCAACTGTTCAAACCGTGATCACCAGTTCAATACATTTGACAAAAATGTCTTTATTTTTCAACATTTTTCCCAACATTCTTCCTTTTTTTTTTAATAGGATATGTACATTTCGGTTAATCGGTTAACCGTTTTTTTGGAGGTTGAATATTCTAATATACATTTGCTTTCAAATTCCCATCCCTAATAGCTATAGTGTTGGTAATGGTAATCTTGAGTCTCAGGCTCATCCAACAATACGATATACTCAACATTAAAGTAAAAGACACTAAATAGTGCAATATTTCCTTTTTATTTCATTATATTTCATGTAAATATTTCTCTTTACTTTGAAATGTTTTTTTATAAAAGTTCCTATTTAGGTAATTTTTCTGTGACTATTTGACCGTGACTGTGTACACCAAATACACCAAAGTAAATTGCTTGTATGTTTTAACCTAATTGACAGTAAATCTGTTTCTGATTCTGAAAATATGAACATATAAATAGAAAATAAAATAAAACGTTAAATTAAAAAACAGTAAAACAAAAAGACTCTATACTGTACCGTCAGACACATGTGGATATGAGGACTATAACCAGGGGTACATGAGTAATATGAACATACATTATGTAAATAGTGGCACTTATTGCTTTTTTCCCCAAGTGTTAAAAAACATTTGCTCAACAATCACTTCTATTAACACATTGTATATGTTCAGTGCAGATTTGATTTGTTGCTAGCACCCCGAATAGAAACGACAGGCGTCCTCACCGTACAGCACTCCTCCCCCTCTGGGCCATTGTCATAAAATGACGGTATGCGCTAAGGTTAACAATGACAAGCCAAAGCGATGGATGCATCGTTCAGGAACATGCCACCTGCGTGATGCACACAGTTAAGATCAGAATGATGTCCTACCTGGAGGGCAGAGGGCTCCACAGCCCATGTCTGTCTTTCTCCGTCCCCCAGTTTCAAGCATCCTCTCCTGGCTAGCAGGACCAGCGCTCTCCCCTGCAGCTCATCCTCCACTGATGGAACACCTGATCCCGATATGATTTTATATATGCTCCATTATCACAGAGGAATGTGATTACATATTCCCTCTCCTGATTTATTTTCTCTTGGGATTACCCATTTGGTGTCCGCACATCCCTCGCTAATGCTCTCACACCTTCTGACCTTCTCATATCATCTCACCCCCCATCCTGTGGCTCTCTTTCTCTTCCTTTGCCTCCTTTTCCTTTTTAAAAAAAAACCCATCTTCTCTCCAGTTCCTCAGCAGCGACAGCCATAAACATCCCAAGGACCTAAATGTAATAAATGAGCGAACAGACCACGTTTTCCATCAGGTGGTGGAGCACATGGCAGGCGTCCTGCACTCAGTGTATGTGTGTAGTGAACCCGAGCCAGCATGAATATAATGTGATTGCATGCATGTCCCGTAGACAAAGGCAACATAAAATGGGGCTCAGCTGTGCAACAGTATCCTGAATGACACAAAGTAATCATCCAATTGAAGGAGACCTTTCTCCTTTGATGATAAAACCTGGCCTTTAACAAACTATGCTCTGTGAAGTCTGCTGTATTTCAGAATCAACCCTGCATGGCTATAAACTGAACTGGGCATTTCAAAAGAGACTGTTGGGAGTATTTTTATTTATAGCCGGTTAAAGTTTAATATGAAGGGAAGTCAGGGAACACTACCCCGCTCCTCCTCTCCCTTCAGTGACTAACAGTGGCGTGACGTCCAGAATCCACTTCAAAACACAGGTAGGCTTACCGTGCTGTGAATGGATCAGGCCCTTCCTACATACAGGACATGGTTAAACCATACGCTCCAGCATGTGCACTTCGCTCTGCATTGCCCAATTGGCTGCTACTTCCTGCCTGCAAGTGGGATCCAAGTAACCATTACCAAAACACTGCTGGACCAAATTGGTGGACCTAGCTTTCTGTAGATATCAGAACAGCATAAAGTCTATATATCTTCCGTAACCGAATGCAAACCCACCTGTACCTTAAACCTTACGCCTCCCCCCAAAAAAATAGTACCTATAAGGTTAAGCCCATTTGAAACTAATGCACCAGCGCTTACAATGGTTTGAAGCGGATGTACCTGCAGGTTTCTTGATGTTCCAAGTTTGTATCTTCATGGTTTATTGCAATTAAAGAGTGATGATGTTTTTTGGTCCCTTGTCAAGAAGCAATGGGATTTATCCATTGGACTTCAGAATAATACAGAAAATAAGCTCTGTGGCAAACATGTTTCTGATACTTGAGACATTTTCTTCAGCAGGATATTAACACTACTTTAAGATTTTATATAAAAGTGATCATGAGGAACCAAATCCTGGTCGCATGGATGTGCTCCACCTCTAAGCTAAAGGCTGAATCGTCTTTTTGGTATGATTGTGTTTAATAGTCTTATTTAGTCGCTACTTTATGATTTTAAAGTGTAAATGACTTTAGTTAGTCTATAAACAAACTACATTGCAGTAAAATACTTTTACATGATTTAGAACTGCTAAGCTAAAGGTGGCCAAGTGTTTGGCGTAACAACGTGTGGTACTCTCATGTACTCGCTTGAAGGCAACCGCTGTATTATAAACACATACGAGGTTCAGACAATCACAAGGTGAACATTTCGTTGTAGAATAAAAACGTAAAAAATCTCTTAAACTTTTGTTAACCACATACCTTATTTCAGGGATCTAACCACACGCACAAAAAGCGTTGACTTTAAGATGAGGGAACCTAGATTGGTAAAATGCTAATTCATTTCAGAGTTTTTGACTTATTCTTGAATCAGTCTATAGTAAGTCACTTTGGAATGTAATGTAAAAGGACGCTTCCATGATCAAGACTGTAAATCCCTATGTGCTCCAAAGCAGCTGTTCTGTATCTGACCCTGACCCTACTGTGGGAATAAACCTTACATCCATGAGAAAAACATAGACAGTATCGGAACAACAATTGTGTTTCCACAGTGTTCTTGAGCTATTTATTCTCAAAACTTAAATCCAAAACATAGATGTGCATAGCTGATAAAAGTAAAGTCTGGCACATTCTTTGGTATGCGAGGTTAAGAAGATAAAAAGAATCACAATTGACAATTAGGGATGCTCCGATCGATCACCGATCGGTGCTCTCTAAACATGCCGATCGCGAGAGCCGATCGCATGACGTAAAGTACATGACACTTTTCTCTGTGAGCGGCAAAACAAGCTCGCCAAAATGGCTTCACCGGTCTGGCATTATTTTAAGGTGTCCGAAAAAGACAGTAAAATAGCGGAATGCAACGTGTGTGAAGCAGAAATCCTGCAGCTCCACCCGCCGGACAGGTAAGCGCAGCGAAACACACAAGAGTTAGACCTAACACACTTAGCTATTTTATCTACCTCTGGGACAAGCTAAACTAGTTATAAATATATTTATTCTTCACTGTCGGGTCACTCATACGACTGGATCAGTGAGCTGCATGAGATAATAATGTACTTCATTTGAATGTAATAATGAAGTTGATTGTTGTTTGTGGAAGCTCCAGTGAATGAGCCCCATTAACTGAGTTTTAAACATCACTTTAAATGGAAGATTTAAAGTGATGTTGAAATCTTCCATTTAGGCCCCGCCCACTCGATCGGATCGGCATCGGCCGATACTGATTCCGGCCCCAAAATTGGCGATCGGAGCATCCCTAGTGACAATACTGGCCAACCCTCCCGATTTTCGCGGGAGACTCCCGATTTCATAGGCCTCTCCTGGTTTCCTCCCGGGGTCATATTTCTCCCGCATTTCTCCCGATTTCTGACAAAATCAGATTTACTCAGGACTGTTTCCACTCTGACTTGAATACAGCTACATCATTCTTTCACACACACATACGGGTATTGGGCCGAGGGCGAAACCGTACTTCCGGTATCCGCCGTTTTACGCGAGGTGCAAGCAGGCCATGGGTTTAGCCGTACACCGTCTAGGTGTTGCTAAGCTTCCTGTACTGAATATCATAGTCTATTGCCTTAATCAATATCTAGTCAACTCTAAAATACCACATATATGCAATGGCATGATAATATTATTGTGACAAGTGGGGTATTCACCTGGTGTTTCCCGAAATTAGACGTAGATGCAGCCAAAATCGACGCAGTCTGTAAGGGCAATCCGACAACCCACACAGCTCTAGTTTACGCTGGTAACGACCTAGAGCACACCCCTCAAGTCCAGAGATGTAATCCGAAGACATGCAGCGATTTATTCGGTCGTTAATTCAGAAAAAAAAACCTAGTGCGCTCTGCCTTGCTACGTTAGCTAGCTGTTTATATTTGCACTTCCAGGATATTTGCACCTCCATGAAAATGGCGTATTTATATATGGCGCGTGTTGCATTGTGGGTAGCTCGTGACGTCACTGTGTGTGAAAGAATTGTTTGGTTCTATGGTAGCGCGTCTCTTTAGTAGCGCGCGCAACTGAAAGTCTGAGAGGGTGAGGGAGATAGTCACAGAAAACTGAACAATAATCGACAACTCGACCCTCTGCTCACTCCTGTCCTGTAAAATACAGGTCCAGCCCACACATATGCATAATACAGATTTCTTGTGGAGCCATCAAAGTGACTCATCTTCAAATAAAGAAGTGTATTGCTTGCCCTCTTTGGGACAGAATGGATGGTGGCTTACAAAGTTACTGCATATTTGTATTTTCTGCTTTTCTTGGCCAAACCTCTGAATTAAACCTTCCGATTGTCAGACATCAGGTTGGTCTCCAGCTCCTTCCCTCTCTCCAGTACTTTCCCCATTACACATAGTATGTATGTGTGAAAGCGGAGGGAATGTTGAAGGAGCCCTCTGCTTCTGTGTGTTTACTCTGCCTCATTCCTCACGTATTACATTAGGCTAGTGGATTCAATTCCTTACATGGCTACACACAGCCCGCGGCCATGAAAACACAAACTTTAACCACACGCTGTAGTTAACGGTGTTTCTTTTGAATGCGTTTAGGCTACGTTTAATGCCTGGTTACAACTATACATTAGCGCTAAACGTGTTAGCTATCTAAGATGTGTGTTTATAGACTTATTGTTAACTTGTGGGGACTGTTTCTACACTTTTAAGACTAATGTCGGATATTAGTTAACATATTGGACTCTATCCATGGACTTAACTCAGATATTTATTCTTGACTTCACGTTATTTAGCTTACGTTAACGGTTTACCTTCTTTCGCCTTTTTCCTTCTTGCCAAAGTTCCTCCAAGTTTGCCCAGAAAAGAGTCATCTTTCTTTCTGGAGGACGGGGATTTGGGCGTCGGAGACTTCGGAGAGGACGGGGACTTCTGAGGCGAAGAAGCCATCGTCTTCACAATGATTTAATCCGGGACAGGTAAGACAACGTTATCCGAGTTGGTGGGGGAGTAAAAGTTGTTTGGAAGTAAAAAAAAAAAATCACCGTCCACTCCCTAAAGCGGAAACGGAATTCCACATATTTTCTCCCGAAGTTGGCTGGAGAGTGTGGCCCCTCCTCTGCGGAGGAGGACCGGCGAGAGGCCTCTTGCTGCATGCTGCTGGCCAGGGGGAGCGGGAGCTCCGCTGCTCCTCTCCGGAAAAGAGGCTCAGCGGCCGGCGAGGTGTGTCAGTACTGGAGCAACGTAAGGGACCCAGAAGGTGGAAGTAAAGATAATGTTACACCACAAAAGGCTGTGCTTTGCAGTAGATTGCTAAAGGGTATGCCTGCATGAATATGCTGTAAGACGACTTAAAAAAAATTGGTAATTGTCACTATAATTCAGTTCATAGTTGCACATTACACAACAAAGACTTTAAACTAATATGGATATTAATCTGATATTAATATATAGTAAATAGCCTACACCTTTTTTACCCTTTACGATTTTTAACCCTGTGTTAGTAGTGGAAATGTTGGCGAGGGCTATAAAATAACCCCCTTTTAAATTAAATATATTACACATTCCAAAAACCCTATTTTCTTTTTGTTTAAAAAAACAAAAAAAGTCTCAGATGCATGCCTGAAAATATTATAATAAATATGCTATAGTACAACATGAAGAACCACCAAAACATTTATTAAAAATAAAAAACTTGTTTTATTGCATTATTTTTAGTGCTGTCAAAATTATTGCGTTAACGGCGGTAATTAATTTTTTGAATTAATTGCGTCAAAATATTTAACGCATTTAACACATGTGCAGAATGGCCCGCCCCATACGTGCCACCAGTGGCAGCGCCAGGGTATGGCTGGGGTAGGCTACACCCATACCAAGAAATGGCTTAGCCCCACCATGAAAAATGATGTTAAAGTAAGCAAAATAAAGTCTGCCAACTCGCGGAGTAAATTGCACAGACAGCAGTTAGTAAGATTGATTTCAGTAGCCACGGTTTTGAAAACTTTTGTCACGTAGTGATCGTCTTCTCAATAGAACATCTTTGATAACGGCGTGGTGTTGTTGCAGGAAGTCCCGACGGAGAATACTTTTACTGTAGTACAGGGGTGCACATAACTGGTACGCAGGTTATGTGCGTAATCTGAAATGCGTACCGTCACTTGTGTCACAAAGCGCATTTGCGTACCGACGTACTTGTGAAGCTTTTCCGGAAGGCGGTTAGATCACCAGACGACAGAGTCGGTCTCCGTGTGCACAGACAGGGCTGCTGTTAACGTCGGTCTGTACAACGGAATTGTGCCAAAACTACGCCAACCGGCGGCGGAGGGAGACTCTCCCCCCCCCCCCCCCTTCACTGGAGAACTGCGCTAAAACAGCTGATCCCAACGTTCACACTCTGTGGTCACGAAGTACTCCACTAGCCGCCGCCCCCCCCCCCCCTCTGTCGACTTTCCTGAAGTACTCCCCCGTTGATAGAAATCAACACGTAATGAATTCAGACCCCACGGTTTGATGATTGATAGGTGTGTGGGCTGTCTTTCATTTTGACACACAGAAAATTGTTATAATAAACATAGATACTGTATGTTAAATGGATATATCCGCCTTCTTTCATTTATCTTTCCATTCCCACAACAATATACATAAATAAATGGCATATTTTGGACATAGTTCGAATGGTGATTAATCATGATTAATTAATTTTTAAACTGTGATTAATCTGATTACAATTTTTAATCGTTTGACAGCCCTAATTATTTTCCAAAGAAAAAATTACTAGAACTATTCAAATGTACATTTTAGTACAGTTGTGTAGGTTAGCCAACAGGGGGAAATTCATTTAAGAAGTGATTGTGTTAGCACTTCACAATATAACACTGAATGTAAATGACGTAACAAAGTTGCCTTAATTAAAAAGAATAACACAACATTTCATAGTTAAATTAAATAAATACTTTATTTCATGTAATATTATAATCGTTAAAATATGGCAGGATTTAAAACAGTTTTTTATGCGCAAGTGTTTGTTGTTTCTTGTGCCTACTGGTACTGTAACTGCATGTTTTGTTGATGCACTGGACAACTCAACGTGGGTTGATGTCTTTTATTGAAGCTCTGCTGCAGTCGTTGACAAAGTTATCATCGTGACAAAGTTATCATTGTGACAAAGTTATTCAGAAAAGGAACTTTAAAGATTAATCTCCTTTCTCGACAAGCGGCCAACGAGTTCTCACTCCAATAAATAAACGCCCGTTTTAAAGAACCGACCGGTGTCTGAGTGTGTCGTGAAGAGAGCTACACTGAAGTTATTGAATATTCCTATATTCTCTACTTATGCGGCTTTCACACCAGCGCTTTTCCCTTTCTAGCTCCGAGCGGGAGCTTTTCTGGTTCAGCTCCGGTTTCCCTTTTCTGCTCCCGCTCTGTTCACACCGCCCAGAGCTGCTGTGTCACGACGTCACCGTTTACGTGCCTGCTTCATAAAATCCAAACCGCGCGGATATCCCTCACAGATTCGTCGTTGAAGTAGATGCTGAAGACCACAAAGAAGTCTTGCATTTCGCATGTGATGTTTGTAAAGTTCCAAGTAAAGTCGTCCCTTGTAAAGTCGTTCCGATGCCTTCCATTTCGTTTCGTAAGAGGATAACCGAAGCGAACAGCGCTTCAATACAATCGGCCATTGTTGTTGTTGTCGATGTGAGGGATTTCCGCGCGGTTTGGATTTTATGAAGCAGGCACGTAAACGGTGACGTCATGACGCAGCAGCGGCAGCTCTGGGCGGTGTGAACAGAGCGGGAGCAGAAAAGGGAAACCGGAGCTGAACCAGAAAAGCTCCCGCTCGGAGCTAGAAAGGGAAAAGCGCTGGTGTGAAAGCCGCATCAGCTCCGAAGCTCTTGCCTCTAGTCTAGACCGACAATTTTTTGGAGCTGGAAGTGAACCGGATTCCGGAGCTAAGAGGCGGCGCGAACAGGGAAAAACGGTACTTTTCAGCTCCAGCTCCGAGCCGGAGCTGAAAACGCGTTGGTGTGAAAGGGGCATTAGTGTTGCACTGTGTGCTCCCTTCACGTGTCTCTTGACACACCTGCTAATAGGGTGCTTATCTTAAAATTGTATATGTAGCTATGTAGTCAATAAAAAAGTACCCAGATTTTTTAATTCATATTTATTTAAGATTTTTCTCCAATTTAAAGTATTGAAGCAGCATAAAACAACACAATCACAATAATAACATTTAAAGCTCGGGGACCAAAAGAGAATTGTGGATCCTTGTTCTTGGATAAAAATCATGTAAACATATAATTCATCTTCATCAGCCAATACACTTGGTGAAAACCAGCGAAACAAAGCATCACAGTTCAACTTACAGTTGTTAGCCACTAGCTACAGCGTAAATTCACTCTGAATTAAAAAGAACTTCAGTGAGGTCACAGAGTGGGATGTAGTCAGATGTGCAACATGCATGAACAATTCAATTGGTGCATACAGTTTTCTGCCAGGGATTACATTGTTTAATTATCTGGCAACCTGTGTCACAATGAAGTCAAATGGGATGTTTTTTGCCACATGGCAGAGGTACATCTTACCAACTAGCTACAAATATGTGGCAGCGAAGATTCTATTTCTCCTGTATTTAACGATGTATGGGTATATATCAGACTGCATAAGAAGTCAATACCATTTAATTGAATTCGACAGTGTTCCAGCACAAAGTGAAAAATACCAATATTAAAACACACACAGGAGGGTTTACACACACACATAGCTTCAAAGTGACAACAGTGAATTACATAAAGCACATTTTAAAACAAACCATACTGTGCAAAAACAATAATACTTGAGGGAAAGTGTTGAGTCCTTCCATGTGCTATCCAGTGAGGCTACCCAGTGTTCCATTAAAAAAACATCTGTCACAACAGTTCCACGCTTAAGGCAAGCAACCACAAAGAGCAGTTGTTGTTTGGGCAGTCAGTTTGGTTTCTGAGGTTTGAGCAAAGTTACAAAGGCAGTCATTTGTTAGTAGTAGTTAAACATATTGTACATCCAGTTGCAGTGCTGTGTAGGCCTGGGGCCATGACAGATTACACTCCAGAGACTGGAGGTTAAATCATCTCAATGGCAGAGATATCATTAGCCCTTATTGCTGTGAAGGGAATCTTTAGTTTAGTTCCATTTCCATTCTCATATCAGCACAAAATGAGACTAAATGAAGCCTCTCTGTCCTTTTCAGAGTGGTGAAACACCTAGACACAAACTAGTATGCTTAATTTTCACTGTATGTAGTGCCTTACAGTACTTTTCTTCTAAACATTCAACCTTCAGGCCAGCTTCTCGGGTCCCCAGCTGTCCTCCACCTGGGCCCAGTGGAACTCGTGGCCCTTGGACAGCACTAGGCTCTCCAGGTCCCGGTCCTCTGCCCTCTCCTTCAGCCTCTGCTCCTCCAGTAAAGACACCAACATGTCTCGCTTCTCCACCGTCTTCATGATATCTACCAGGATCTCCTGCTCCCGCTGCAGCTCAGAGGCACTCTTTTCTGTATCTGGAGTGAGGTGGAAGAGAAAAGAGCAAGAACTTGATGCACCATTTTCTCAAAGCCAATGGTTTTTGAAGCTGTTTTTGGTCAGATGTCTGAAATAAGATCTGTGGTTAATACAAGCGTGAGGGATTTTTTTACGATTTAAAATACATCAGTAAACACCCCGACTTGTGAATGTTTGAAGCTTAGCGATGTTAACTAAGCTACGCTTCAAAAACCATAAAAGTGGTGTGTATATGTGGACATTACACTGCGTAACAATACAGGCAAGTAACATCAAAGTTTGTTTGCCAAAGATGTTATTTTCTGGAATATTCCAAAATCCAATAGAAAAATCCCATTGCTTTTTGACGAAAGAGCCCCTGCAATGCTAACATCCGGGTCTGTGGGTTTGGTTTTCAATGTTTTATGCAGATGAAAATGCTAGTTCATCCTGACCTTCAATTGCCATCCTGCACCGTAGATCTTGCTGCATTCGGCTTTGTGAGTCCACCAGTTCAAGCTCCTGAGCACTAAGAGAGAAGAGGATACAATCGAGTGACCTCTA